GGGGGGGGGCGTTTACCGTCACCAAAGTGCTACGAAGGGTCCAGTACCAAAGGCCCCTCCTCAGGGCTGCCCCCTCCCGATTGCGGTTGAGAAAGGCCCCAGTAGCGCAGCATGGAGAGGCGGAGGTCATCCATCTTGCCATTGGTAAGGTCGAGGCCGGGAGTCGGGGTGATGATGCGTGGAGCTGGAGGGTCGTCTTTGCGTCGGCGGCGGGTGCGCACCTCCAGGCAGTTCTGCCCTTTCATGTGGCGCTGGAGGTGATCCTCCTTGGCGAAGGCCTTGTGGCAGAGCGTGCACTCATAGGGGCGATCCCCGGTGTGAAGGTGCATGTGATTCTTCAGGTCGTAGCTGTGCAGGAAGCGAGCGCTGCAGTGCTCGCAGCAGTATGGGCGTTCGCCTGTGTGTTTACGCATGTGAATCTTCAGCTTGTCATTCCTGGGGAGAGAGAAGACATGGCAGACGTGAGGTGGAGGATACACGGAACAGGAAATTAACATTATAATACTGTTTTGGACAGTACATTTGCTCTACCAGGATTCCATAAACGGAACAGCAGGGGAATCGTGCTCAAACGGGGTCAAAACAATGCAGCTACCTGAACAGCTAACCCCCTTTACCCACCAGTTTTGCACCGTTAACCCCAACTCTGGGCAAGCAGTTAAATGCATAGTTGCAATTTCTAATTCTGTACAGACCGTCTGATGCTTTCCAAGCCGTTTACAAACGGCACAGCCAGACAGACAACATGCCAAGTTCCTGATTAACAATCTAACTCCCTGGATCGGCAATGCAGCTTCCATTATTGCCGTCCAAAGAGCAATAGAGCTGGGGGTTGGAGAAATGTGAATGCGGACACTAAAGGTCAATTCTCCATCATCCTTTGAGGGATGCGGCTTGATGATACTAAAGCAACCTAGGTTACACTGCCGCCTGAAGGAGAAATGGACACTAGGCACAAGAAGACTTAGGACCAACCCCCTTGAGACTATAACCCCTCCCACCTGCCCCAGTTTTGCTAAATTTGCTTTGGTTTTCCCGCCTCCCCTCAGTTTGGTATGCCTTTGGACATCTCTAGTAAATATCATCAGGCTGTGTCCCTAACTGGATGATACAGAAAATATCTGTACAAACCTTTCCTCTGAGTCCATTGCAGAACACAGCCCATACACACACACACACACACACACTATGCCATTGTTTTTGTCATTGTTGGGGTGCTTGCTACCAGAGCAGTTGGGAAGGCATATAGCCTCAATGGGGCTGGCCTTCCGTCTCCTTGTGCCTAGTATCCATTTCTCCTGTAGGCGGCAGTATAATCTAGGTTCCCTAATTATCATCAAGCTGCGTCCCTCAATGGACTCAGAGAAAAGGGATTTTAAGGAAAGTACAAACATTTTTGTTTTTGGCAGAGACAGAAAATAAGAGAGAAGAGAAAGTGGAAGAATGAGAGATGGAAGACGATGGGGAGGGAGAAGGAGAATGAGAGATGGAAGACGATGGGGAGGGAGAAGAAGAAGAAGAGAAAGAGGAAGAATGAGAGATGGAAGAGGATGGGGAGGGAGAAGAAGAAGAAGAGGAGAAAGTGGAAGAATGAGAGATGGAAGACGATGGGGAGGGAGAAGAAGAAGAAGAGGAGAAAGTGGAAGAATGAGAGATGGAAGATGATGGGGAGGGAGATGAAAGAAAGGAAGAAGATGAAAGGGAGGGAGGATAAGAGCGAGCGGTAGAAGAGGGGGGAATGGCCTTACACCCTGCCAACCCCGATGACCTGGTGAGTGCAAAAATAGCAGCAGCCTGTTGTCACACATCATCAGCAGAGGATGCTTAGGAGGCTGAGCTGCAGAGAACCTTGTGACGTTTTCACACCTTGAAAACATTAGACCCTACAAATAACTAACAGTGTCAGAGTATCACTTCTCCATTCACAATCAAATTAATTATAGATGGAGTTCCTTTAGAGATGTAGATGAGAGTTGGTTAGGACCAGAAGCCAAGGACCTATGTGGAGCATGAAGGGGGCAGAAAAGACTAGATGGAGTTTAGGGGGGCAGGGGGGGGCAAATAATTCTATATGAGGAGGGTTTAGAAGAGCTTCGGTATAAACAAATTTGCTCCAGTCTCTCAATCATCAGCAGAGGATGCTTAGGAGGCTGAGCTGCAGAGAACCTTGTGACGTTTTCACACCTTGAAAACATTAGACCCTACAAATAACTAACAGTGTCAGAGTATCACTTCTCCATTCACAATCAAATTAATTATAGATGGAGTTCCTTTAGAGATGTAGATGAGAGTTGGTTAGGACCAGAAGCCAAGGACCTATGTGGAGCATGAAGGGGGCAGAAAAGACTAGATGGAGTTTAGGGGGGCAGGGGGGGGCAATAATTCTATATGCAGAGGGTTTAGAAGAGCTTCGATATAAACAAATTTGACTCCAGTCTCCAACATTGGAGCTCTTTCAATATCTATTACGACCAATTAACAAATTTGAGTTGATAGGTGGAGGGGCCACTTTTCCACAAATGAGCTCAAATGCTAAACCATGCTCGGAGTAATTTGTGCCTGGACCCCCTTTGCTTTAAGATCACTGGGCATCAGTGGGAGGCATGCTGTGCCTGTACCTGATCCCAGCATTGTTTAGTCATGGCTGATGCACAGAACACAGAAAAGGAATGCGATCAGTCCATGGGATCGGGCATATTTTTCTGAGGCTCACCTGGTGAATCTCACTCCGCACACTTGACACACGAAAGGTTTCTCCCCCGTGTGAGTGCGCATGTGGCGGGGCAGTTTCCCAGCTCCGTGAATAATCTTGTGGCAGACAGGACACTCCTGCGGCATCTGCGATCGCCGTTTCCTTACGAGCTTGTCGGTGCCGTCCAGGGAAGAGGCCGTCAATTCGTGGTGCTCGTGGTCCAGGGTCCCCAGAAAGGTCATATCGGTGGGCTCTTCGTCAGATAGGATTTCGTCTGGAGGAGAAGGGGGGACGAACATGTGCTGGACCCCGAGCCCGTTGTCAGGGGTGTAGCGCTCGTAGTTGAGGCTGCCGTCACTTGGCGGCAATTCGGCCGGTGATGGAGCTTCGGCGGGGCTCTCCGCCCTTTCTGTAGAGTCGTCATCCACAATATACGGGTTACCGTTCTGCGGCCTCTGGCTCGGGTTGACCTGCAGGAACTTCCTCCGGCCTTTTCGAGGGATCAGCTGCACTGGTTTTTGGGGCACCGGCATTGGGTGGACTGGTAGTAGAGAACTTTCAGCCTCTAGAGGGGAGGAGACATCTTCACCGTTCTCCTGCGTACCATAACACTCAAGATATTGCCGCGCCCGTAGGAAACCCTCCAGATCTTCAGCATCTGCCCCCATTTCCTCTCGGCCTCCGTTACATCGTAGAATATCCACGCAGGCCTGGACGACGCACGGGATCTCCAGGAGGCGAGCGGCACGGAGCACATCCCGCATGTTTGCATTGCTGATGGTGAGCGTGGCGGTGTAGGCAAAGTCCAGAAGGGCCCCAAGAGCGTCGGGTTTGAGGAAGTCCAGGTGACAAACATTGCGTGATGACTTTCCAGACGGCGCCCCAGTGAACAGCTTGCGGAAATATTGGCTGCAGGCGGCCAGCACAGCGCGGTGGGTGCGGTACTCTAACCCTTGCGTCTTGATGGTGATGTCACACAACACACCGCGGTGACGCTGCTCGTTAAGGCAGCTCAGAAGATCACTGCTGTGTTCTGGGAAGGGGATCCCAATCAACTCGTCTTCTGACGTCGCCATCACCACCTGGAGGAAGCGAATACAAAGAATTAGCACAAAGAAAGTTATAGAACTTGCCAGATTACATTTAACAGGAGACATCACTACTCTCCAGATATAAGATAAATTATACAGGAGTGACATCACCGCTCTCCAGATAGAAGATATATTATACAGGAGACATCACTACTCTCCGGATAGAAGATACATTATACAGGAGTGACATCACCGCTCTCCAGATAGAAGATATACTATATGGGAGTGACATCACTACTCTCCAGATATAAGATATATTATACAGGCGTGACATCACCGCTCTCCAGATATAAGGTATATTATGCAGGAGTGACATCACTACTCTCCAGATACAAGGTATATTATACAGGGGTGACATCACCGCTCTCCAGATACAGTATATGTTATTGGAGGCCAAGCCAGCTCTTTTTCTGTGTCGGGGGGCTGATTCTGTGAGGTTTTTGGAGAAAATTTTGAGCAGTCAGAGATGCTGACAGGAAGATTCGTCACCGACATGGAGAGGGTCGGGCAGGAAAATGGGAGCCACTGAAGACACAGACAGCAGTTGATGTCACGCAGATCTCCGGCTGGATCAGGTTGCTTTCCGAGGGGAAGACTTCACCCGCCTAGTAACCTGGCAGGAGTCGTCAGCAGGTGTCTTGTTCCAATTAACACAGCCCCTCCCGAGCCAGAAACGAGGGACCCCTCCCTGCTGAGGAATGGACAGCCCCTCCTTGCCACAAAGCAGAGAGGGGGACAGGACGGACCTGTTGTACCAGTCACGGCGTGACACGCCACACTGGGAACACAGACGAACGAAGTGTCAGCTCTGTGGATCACAGCCTTGCAGGAGGGCTGGGGACAAAAACTGCAGCTGCATAAAATGCTTGGAATGGTCCCGATCACACCGCCAGTGAACTGGTTACACCAGTCACAGCAACCAGTGTCAACCATTTACCGACTGCCGCCCACTGGTGGCACGCTGCCTGGCATCCATTGCTTTCCATATACCCGACACGTCCATTCTTATACAATAAAAGAGTGGCCGCAATACCTCCCGCATTCATACTGTGCAAGGTCAAGGTAGGAGCTGTCTTAGGAGCAAACATTTCCTCCATGAATAAGATACCAGGACGTGGATGTTAAAGGCTGCCCCTTAGGGGACACATGGAGGTGACGTTTGGCCCTCGTCAGATACTGTGTAATACAAGACTGAGCAGGGAGTGGAAATTCACAGCGGAGCAGATAAGACGCTTCCTCCCCGTGTGCTGGGGGGTGTGGGGGTGTCAGAGGCAGGAACTGCATAACGGCACAGGACATGAAGGGTTAATGCGCCTCATGTACGCAAGTCCATATGTTCTAAGAAAGGATTACACGCAGCAATTCCTACAATATCATACTAGAGAAAACATTTTAGTGTAACCTCATTCAAATATACACCGAGTTGGGGACACAAGCCCATACGCGCCGTGTAATGTAGAAATATCTTTTTTTTAAACTTAGGCGCACTTTACACGCTTCATAGGCTGTAACCGGCTATAAATATACTGAATAGAACTAGAATGTCTATTGTCAGAGTTCAGGTCATTGACCAGACCCCAAGCTGTGACTCTCTTCCATTTGTGTCAGTTCAGCCCATATTGGCTCTATATATCCAATATAGTATGTCCCCTATTGATGTAGGATGCCCAATACCGAATGCCCCATATTGGCTCTATATGCCAATTACCACTATTGGCTCTATATGCCTATTAAAATATACCCCACTATTGGCTCTATATGCCCAATAAAGTATACCCCACTATTGGCTCTATATGCCCAATAAAGTATACCCCACTATTGGCTCTATATGCCCATTACCACTATTGGCTCTGTATGCCCATTACCACTATTGGCTCTGTATGCCCATTACCACTATTGGCTCTATATGCCCATTACCACTATTGGCTCTATATGCCCATTACCACTATTGGCTCTATATGCCCATTACCACTATTGGCTCTATACGCCCAATAAAATATGCCCCACATTGGCTTCATGTGTCCTTAAATGTATGACTGATATTGGCTCTATATGTTTATTAAAGTATGCAACTATTTGACAATTTTCACAATAGAACAGGGACAGGCCACAGAGGGATGGCTCAGACGCAGTGGGCCAGAGAGGGATGGCTCAGACGCAGTGGGCCAGAGAGGGATGGCTCAGAGCAGCGGGCCAGAGAGGGGATCCCTCCGACGCAGCGGGCCAGAGAGGGGATCCCTCCGACGCAGCGGGCCAGAGTTGACAATAGAAGACACATGATCATGCGCACATGTTATAGGAGTTATTGAGACTGTTGTAGTATGCTATATATGCATGAGATCGCTGCTTTAACAGGGCAATACGGAAACACAAACTAGTGTCTGCAGGGGCCCCAAGGGCCACAGAAAATGTGCCAAAGGCCAGCAGGTTAGGCATCAGGGGTATGTGGTATGTGTCTATCTTTATACACTACACCCTGTGCAATACAACCCCACCCCTACCATATGCATAATAAAATACTTAACGCATGGTGTTATGCATCTGCTGCACACCATATCACCATACAATGAATACACCAGGCAAAGCCAATACTGGACACACATGTTACAATCTAATTGCTTTGTCTGGATTTGTATACTCAGCACTAACTGCGCTTCCTATACTGCCGGTGACATTGTTCATTTATTTTCTACTTGGTTTTGTGCTTTCTATGACATGAGGGCAGGTACGGTGACCGAGGTGTAATAATCTTATTACTACCCAGTTTCTGTCTGATGTTGTAGTTGTTTTTAGATCTAGTAATATATTACTACCAGATGTTCCTAATCTGGCATTTTATCATGTGGTTATACTATGTTGCAGGATGTGACAATGGGGGGGGGGGGGGGGTGTTTATAAAT